CCCCCCCCCCCCCAAACGCAGCACTTCTGTCATATTCAAGAGTGCTGTATATAATAGTGCTATAAAAACTGTTTTAAATGGCAAAGCTGTAAAACGTGCCCAGAACACTTCCATATACACCCTTAATGACTCACAAAATGTAAACTTTAGGGATGCACACAGAAGTGACAATTTTCACCTGATCTGGCTGCAGAAATCAGTTTATAGCTGTGACCGAACACAAGTGCACACCTGCAGACAGCTTCAAAAACAGCCAGTCAGATAAAAATCTGACCCCTCATTTCAGGAGGCATCAGGTGAAGACATTTCAAAGTGTAGCATTTTGTGTAACTTTTGTCTGCTCTGCCTGCTAGCCTTTTGCTGTTTTCAGAATGGGAGGGGGGAAGGGAGCGTTCAGTCTGGGGGGTCTCAGTCTGTTCCCCGCCCCCTGAGGGTGGGGCAGGGGGGAAGGGAGCATTCAGTTGTGGGGGGGGTCTCAGTTCCTCCCCCCTGGAGGGTGGGGCAGGTGTTTTGGAGCCCCTCCCCCGCAGGTGAGGGGTGCTCCAGTTCACCCACCCCATGTGTGAAAACCCCCCTGGTCAAACCCTGTTCATGCTCCCTTCCAGCAGATGCACACTGCCCGTGTGACAGACCTATTTGTTGCCTTAGAAGAATTGTGGAGCAGTGCCCACCAAATAAACTATTAGCCTCCTTTAAACAGGGAGGCTGCTGGAAAGGTACCAAGTAATTGCTTGGGACAACTGAAAACATAACAGGGATGGGAGTGAAGGTCAGAGGTTTATAATTAGTGCATCAAGGGGGCACACTGAGCAGAGCTTGCTGGAGAGTGCCTGCTGGCCCCTGAATGAATCCAAGGAGCTGGTGGATACTGCCCAGTGAAACTCTACCCAGAAACAGGATCAGACCAGGGATGGGAAACTGCGGTCCCTGGGGGTCTTCCCAGCAAGGCCTCCTTCCTGGTAAGATATAGCACTAGCTTAGGAAGGACCTAAAGGAACTAACAGACATAAACCGGCCTTCCTTTCCTTTCCTTTTTCATGTCCTCGTGTGACAAGGTATTCAGCAGAATTTGCACTTGCATTGGACTTTGACAAGGCCGTGCCATGAGCGCTTCTGCTGCAGCCTGGAACTTGCCACATCTGGGCTGGCAACCCTGCGCCTTAGCGCCCAGTACATAGCAATTCTTATGTTTCCATGAAGTTTTTTGGAGCCAGGCACTTAAAAGGCATGAGGCAGCAAGAGCCTTGATCTTACCTCCTGTTTCCCCTGCTGCCAGGGGAGGTATGTCGTAAGAGATCTCAGGTTTAATAAACTTAGGGCCACTTAACAAAAATGCCAATTCCTGTCTCTTACTTAATTAGCACTTCCAATCACAATGCCTATTACTTAATAATAAGAAAAATGTCTTACTTATAATGAAACAACTTTAAAATAGTATATTCTTTGCTAACTGTCTGGGTAGGGAACCTGGGAAATTGGTGTTAAGATTCAAAGCGAGTTACTCGCTTGCGTCACACTTCGGTGTCGTGTTCCACATCTGTGACATTTTAAGTGCACTGTTAGACTTGAAGGAATGTGCTTGCCTGTAAAACAAATTACTCCGTATGATATATTTATTCAGGTATTTGCAAATGACTTAACCCCTGAATATTTTCTTCTTTTGTTTTAAGCTTATTCTCAGCCAGTGGATAACCATATCAGTCCTCCTGCCTACCTGGGGCAGTCACTGCCACCAGCATGCCCAGGGAGATATTCCCCAGTTCCAAAGGGGATGCTTGGAGATGACGAGATTACAAGGTAAGGAGCTGTTCAATCCATACTTTAATTCTACATTGGGTTAGAGACTTGAATCAGCTTTCCCACAGTAATGCTGCACAACAACAATACATTGATCAGTTCAGAAACAGTAACCAGGAAATCTAAGAGACCATGTGTAAATGGTCCAAATGGTGTTATACTTCCTCAGGGATTTGGTAGGAGATTGCAGTATTCTCTTAACTCCAGTTCTGGTGAAGTTGTCCCACCTGGTGTCTGTGCCTGTTCCTTTCCCCACAAGTTGAGGCAACTATAGTTGGATCCAGGCAAAAATAGGCCAGGCAGCCTAACCTCCATCCCAGGGAACATCCTGGAAAAGCTCATTAAAGAATCTATGCGCGATACACTTATGGAAGGTAAGATCCTGAATGACAACCAGCATTCCCTCAGGGGTCCATGCTTGGACTGGTGCTTTCAACATCTTTATCAATGGTTTGGATGAGGGAGTGAAAAGCTTGCTGGCCAAGTTTGCAAACAGCACCAAGTTATGGGGCAGTGTGGCCACGCCAGAAGATAGGTTGCAGATAGAGGCAGACCTGGAAAGGCTGGAGAACTGGGCAGACCAGAACCAGATGAAGTTTAACACTTTCAAGTGTAAGGTGCTCCATCTGGGGGCAAACAACCCTCAACATACATACAGGCTTGTAAGTGACAGCTTGACTTGCACCACAGCCAAAAGGGACCTAGGAGTAGTTTCATAGTTAGTAGGGTCGGAAGGGACCTGAGCAGATCATCAAGTCTGACCCCCTGCCTTGGCAGGAAAAAATACTGGGGTCAAACGACCCCAGCAAGGTGTTCATCTAGCCTCCTCTTAAAGACCCCCAGGGTAGAAGCCAGCACTACTTCTCTTGGAAGTTGGTCCCAGATCCTAGCTGCCTTGACAGTGAAGTCGCGCCTCCTGATGTCTAATCTGAATCTCCCCTCTGCCAGCTTGTGACCGTTATTCCTGGTCACTCCTGGCAGTGCTCGGGGGAACAGGGACTCCCCCAGTGCCTGCTGGTCTCCCCTGACTAGTTTGTAAATGGCCACTAGATCCCCCCTCAGCCTTCTCTTGTGGAGGCTGAACAGGTTCAGGTCCTGTAGCCTCTCCTTGTAGGGCCTGCCCTGCTGCCCCCGATCATGCAGGGGGCCCTCCTGGACCCTCTCCATGTTGTCCACATCCCTCCTAAAGTGTGGCGCCCAGAACTGGACGCAGTACTCCAACTGCGGCCTGACCAGTGCCGCATAGAGGGGGAGGACCACCTCCCTGGACCTGCTCAAGATGCGTCTGCGGATGCACGGCAAGGTGCAGTTGGCCTCCCTGACTGCATCCCCACACTGCCGGCCCATATTCATCTTGGCATCAATGATGACTCCAAGATCCTTTTCTGCCTCTGCCCTGATGAGAAGGGAGTTCCCCAGCCTGTAGGTATGGTCCTGGCTCTTCGTCCTCCGGTGATTGACCATTGCATGAATATGAGCCGTCAGTGCAATGCAGTGGTCAGCAAGGCAAACAACATGCTGGCATGCAGCAACCGTTGCATCTCGTGTAAGACTAAGGAAGTGATCCTCCCGCTGTACTCTGCACTGGTGAGACCGCAGTTAAAGTACTGCATCCAGTTCTGGGCATTGCACTTCAACCAGGACGTGGAAAAACTTGAGCGAGTCCAGAGAAGAGGCACCCATATAATCAAGGACTTGCAAGACAAGCCCTGCGAGGAGAGACAGGGACCTGGGCCTCTTTAGCCTACAGAAGAGAAGGTTGAGAGAGGACTTGATAGCGGCTTACTGCTATATCAGAGGAGTGCATCAAGTGCTCGGTAAACAGCTGTTCACTAGGGCACCCTTGGGGAAGACCAGGACCAATGGGTACAAACTCCTGGAAGGCCACTTCAGGCTTACTGCCAGGAAAAACTCCTTCCCAGTCAGGGTGTCCCGACTGTGGAATAAACTCCCTCCAGCGGTGGTGCAGTTGCCTACCCTGGAGGTTTTCAAGAGGAGACTGGACAGTCAGCACACTGTGGTCACCTAACCCCAGTTGTCTTCCTGCGTAGAGCAGGGGGGCTGAACCCGATGATCTGCGCGGTCCCTTCTAGCCCCTGACAATCTATGAAAGTCCCCTCAGCTGACGCATGACCTGTAACAAATGAAATGCGAGGTGGCAGCTAATGGTCCAGTGGGGGAATCTCAAGGAGAGGCTGAAGCCTGCACCAGAGTTTTATACTTGTTTTCTATGGAGCAGACAAAGAGAATTTCTTTTTCCTTCATAGTATCCACAATGCCTGATAGCAGGTTGGTTGCCCGGCAAAGGTTTGGTAATCCGGTAAATGCTGACTGTCTTAACTCATTTTCTGGCCTGAGTCCTTTTTGCATATAATTTTATGAACAAGATCGATTAGATGCAGGGTAAGCACTCTGTTTCTGTGGTGCTGGAACAAGGGCTTGGGGGAGAACAAGAGGCTTATCTTTTCTGCTAAAAGTCCAGCCTGTGGTGCTCACTGAGATAGTGGTGGGCCAAAGGGCACTCATCTCACAACCTGTACTTGGAATCCACATCCTTCCTGGCTGGCGGAAACTGATGGGGAAGTACTGGGTCCATTTTTTTGTGAAGACTGTGTGCGCCTCTCAGAGAGGCCAGGCTCTATGTTGCTTGCTCAGAAGCCATTGCTAATGCAGTCGAAGAGGAATGGATTGAAGTCAGCAACCACTTTCGGCACTGCAGTGAAACAGTTGAGGAAAAAGCAGAGGAGAGGACATCTGCAAGCAAGCTGCAGAGGACTCGGCAATCCAGAGAGCGGGAAGTGCAAGGCCCCAGGGGCAGGGGCTCTAGGACCGCTGGACGAAAAAGAAAGAGGAGTGGTGGTAGTTGGTGACCGCCTTCTGTGGGAAACAGAGGCATTAATTTGTTTGGATTTGGGGTCTTGGGAGGTGTGCTCTCTGCCTGGAGCCCAAATTCAGGATGTCACAAAGAGAGCAACAAGCTTATCCATCCTTCAGACCATTTCTCTTTCCTGCTGGTCCACACACGAACCAGTGATACCGAGCAGATCAGAGATGACTTTGAGGCTCTTGGTAGGGAGGGTAAGGAGCTTGGAGCACAAGTGGTGTTCTCATGGATTCTTCCCATGGAAAGCAAGGATCCAGGCAAGGACCATCGTATCCTTGAAGTAAACACATGGCTGAGATGGTGATGTAGACATGAAGGCTTCAGATTTTGACAGTGGGTGGGTGTTTTAGGAAGGAGGACTGCTATCAAGAGATGGGATCCGTCGGACCAAAACTGGGAAGAGCATCTTTGGGTGTCATCTGGGCAACTTAGTAAGGAGGGCTTTAAAGTAGGTGTCATGGTGGGTGGTAGATAAAACCTTCCAGCAGTAGAGCAAACAGTCCAGAGGGGAAAGGACCAGAGAAGCAACTTAACTGAGAGAAATGGCCAGAGAGTCGCAGGGCAGGAAGAAGCAGTGCAAAAGGGAAGCAAGTAGGTCAAAATGCGAAATACATCCGATATATGCATACACGTGCAAGAAGTGCGGGGAAATAAACAGGAGAAGCAGGAAGCTGCAGCATGTGGCATCACAGAGACCTGGTGGGACGGCTTTTGTGGCTGGAATGTCTACATGGAGGGTTATACTTTGTTCCTGTGTACTAGTGACTCCTAACTCTGTAATTTATCCAGCCTGGATGCAGTTCAGTGCAAGAGAAAGATTCTACTCAAGGTTTTGTCATAAATGTGAGTGAGCTAGGTAAGACCAAGCTGGAGATGGACTGAGAGAAGCAATGAAATGAGAAGACGGGTGTAAGAGCAGTCCTTTGTGTAGAGGAGGCATGCCCACCATTGCCTATGAAGCAGCGGTTTGACACCCCCTCCCCTGCTGCTGTGCAACCCAGTTACTGCAGGAATCCAGTCGGTTTTATACCTCCCTTGCCTGCCAAGAGGTTGTGATTCTCTTTTGAGCTTGAACCTTGTCGCTGTTCCACCCTTTTATTATATCAGATTTAGACTCTTGTAATGTGCCTCTATAAGGCTGTGCCAGCCTGACATGGATCTGTTCGTAGATTCATAGATTGTCAGGGGCTGGAAGGGACCTTGCAGATCATCGCGTCCAGCCCCCCTGCTCTAGGCAGGAGGACAACTGAGGTTAGGTGACCCCAGCGCAGTGACTGCCCAGTCTCCTCTTGAAAACCTCCAGGGTAGGTGACTGCACCACCTCTGCAGGGAGTTTTTTCCACACTCTGGACTAATTACCCTTTGCTTGTGGCTATTGCCCTTTTTGAGACTGATCCTGGGGAGCAGCTCACTCACCCCCAGAGCTCAGCTTTTCATGGAGGGTGCATGGATACCAACTGCTATAGGGACTGCCCTGGCTGGCCACTGGTGTCTGGGTGGAGATGAAGGTGTTGGCTCTGACCTGTAGAGCCCTAAATGGCCTGAGTGGCCTACCCAGAGAAGGCCCCTTCCCCAGAGCCGTGCTGCCACAGCTGCAGTTTATGGAGACATCTGAATTGGATAAAGGGTAGCTGGCAGGGTGTTCTCCGTGAGGGCTTTAGGACTCTAGAGCATGCTTTCCTCTCTGTCCCTCTTCATTTCAAGTTGTCCGTGCTTGATGACTTTCTAGACATACTGCACCAGCAAAATGCACCAGTGAGGATTTTCTCTAACATGCATACAGAAAATTAAGTTTGGCTGTTTTCAAAAAAAAAATTTTCCCTAATTCTTCATGGTCCTTTAACTACACTTTGGCTCTTTTCTCTTAAAGGAGAAAAGGTTTTTTGTTTTATTTTTCCTTCTGCAGCACATTATAGAAATTGACTGCCAGTTTCATTCTTCAAGTCTGAACTAGCAAGGCGCACAGGCATTTCCCTGCCTTCATAGCAATACCCCATATCAAGCCATAACAAGAGTTCTCTGGAAGGATGGGAACTCTGGCAGTGGCGGGTGCCTGAGCAGCACAGCAGCAAGTTGGTGAAGGATCTTGGTAAGGAGCAGCACCTGCTTTAGAGGCTCTGCGTCCCTGGAATGAAAGCGAGAAACACAAGAATGAAAAGCAAACCTCTGTTTATAAAGTTCAGCTGCTTTTGGCTTCTCATGTAAATGGACATCTTGAGAGGAGTGGAAATGATCAGTGGCTGATCTTTAGTGCACTCTAGTGATCTTTTCAATGCAATGCAGACATTTTCCACCTAAAATATGAGACTGTCTTCCCTTGTACTGAAATTCTCCATTCTCTTGCCTCTGTATCTAGTAATAGCAGTGCAGTCAGTTTTCCCTTCGGTAAAAGCAGAGACATATTGTCTAATGGTTCTAGCTCATAGCATGATGTTCTGTTATTCCACTTCTTTGCCCCTTCTCTTTTGAATCACACTAAAATACTGTAAAATTGCTGCAGTATGTTTGTTTTTGTATTGTCATGTGAAGTTAATTTGGAGTAACTGCAGCTGAATTCCTTTGGAAAGGAAGGGAGGGGGGGGTCCTCAGAATGTGTAAGCGGGGTTCTTGAATTGCTCCTTATTGTATTCACAACTCAACCAAAAGTATTTTCACTGCAATGAAATTCATCTGGCAAAGTATTGGCTAGGCTTTACTTTTTCCTAGTCTGACTTATTTAGTTGCAGGGAGAAAAATAGTTTTCATAGTTTCATAGTTGGTAGGGTCGGAAGATCATCAAGTCTGACCCCCTGCCATGGCAGGAAAGATTATTGGGGTCAAACAACCCTGGCGAGGTGTTCATCCAGCCTTCTCTTAAAGACCCCCAGGGTTGGGGGTCTTAATTTTTGTAATGGCTCATACAATACAAAAGTGGCTCAAAATATCTTTGAATGTTGTTTGCCTTCCTGATCAAGTCCTTCAGAGCAAATATCCAGGTTCTCACCTTAGAGCCTAACGCCTTTTGAACGGACACGGTAGCCACCTGAAGCTAACAGAGCACTGACAGAATCTGAACCCACACCTTCCCTTCACGCTGAATGCATACAGCTGGATAAAGGCATAGCACACTTAAAGGAACCGCAGAACCTCGTCTGCATTATCCCATGCACTGTCACAGAGGCCTCAATACCGCGACAAACTCAGTACCATTCCAGACACAGTCTCATAAACCGTTGCCTTTTTCTAAAGTTCGGAGGAGTGGCTCTCCCATTTGATCTCAGTTTGGGAGAAAGGCATTTCTGTTGTCTTCTCATTAGTATCATTTGACACACAAAAGAATATTGTCAGCTGAGGGTTTTTTTTCCCTTAAGGTAAGAAATGGATGCTGGCTAACACCTAATAAAGCTCATCTAGAATCTGCATTTCAGGAGCTTAGTGTCTTACAAATGACCCCCACTGTACTCCACACTGGTGAGACCACAGCTGGAGGACTGCCCTGGGGAAGACCAGGACCAACGGATACAAACTCCTGGAAGGCCGCTTCAGGCTTAATGCCAGGAAAAACTCCTTCACAGTCAGGGTGTCCCAACTGTGCAATAAGCTCCCTCCAGAGGTGGTGCAGTCGCCTACCTGGAAGTTTTCAGGAGGAGACTAGACAGTCACTGCACTGGGGTCACCTAACCCATTGTCTTCCTGCCTAGAGCAGGGGGGGCTGGACCCGATGATCTGCGCGGTCCCTTCCAGCCCCTGACAATCTGTGAATCTATGAAATCAGCAAAGCCCCACAGCCCCCTTTAGATAGGTGAGATCTGTAATTTGCAGCTGAATTGAGTGACATGTGAAGACACTTCTCTTAGGTCACAGGAGGATGTAACGACAGAGTGAGGAAGAACGTAGATCTGTCCTCTTCCAGTACTTCGCGTTCTTCCTTTTAATCACCCTCAAGACAGGTGCTTCACAAAAGGTTATGAGCAAATGTTTTTTGTAAGAGCAAGCCGACAGTGTAAACTAGACATGTAGGAAATAAAAGATGAAGTGCAAGATTTGGAGTCAGCTGAGTCAGTGAGAGAAGTGAAGATGAATAGGGGATATAGAAGAGACAATAAGGAAGACTGTTTTCCGCTTATCATGTTTTTTCCTAGTTTCCTTGTACTGTTGGGATATAGCTGTCATGTCTTGCCTTATGCTTAAGTTACTACCTCTTTTGAGGCCAGGAATCTTGTGTGCACTGCATCTATCACGGTGGCCCCTGCTGCATGTGTGTAGCTGTTAATCATTGAAAAAGTGAAACTAATTATGTAAGAGTAGAAGTAGAAGGGCAGGATGATGTGAAACTTGAAATGCACATCAAATCCTAATAATTAGCTGAGAAAATGTTTCAACTCTAGGTACACTGTATAGACTAAGGTAAGGGTGTACCTGCCACACAACCTGGGCATTTTGTATATCTAGCCAAGATCCTCTGCTGTATAGATTTTGTCAGGGCTTATATCTATCTAGATAGATAGATAGATAGATCTGTATCTATCTATATGTATATCTGCTTTTTTTGGCTATAATTCATGTTAAGTGACTCTCTGTTTTGCCTTTTAGGGAACCTAGAAAAGTTGTCCTACATCGAGGATCAACAGGGCTTGGCTTCAACATTGTGGGAGGGGAAGATGGAGAAGGAATTTTTATTTCATTCATCCTAGCAGGAGGCCCTGCTGATCTGAGCGGGGAGCTCAGAAAAGGAGACCGTATCATTTCAGTAAGTGTCAAGATTTTGAAGAAAGATTACCTTTCCTTCTTCTGACCTGCTCTGTTGTTTACGTGACTCATTGCACTAAAATTTAGTTACACTGCAGTTAGACTGAATTGGAGACAGCAGGAATTAGGACTAAGTATCATGCTTCATGTTAATCAGATTTGGATTCAGCCCCAAATCTTGGTGCTGAGGGCATATCATGCACACTACAGTTCATATACTTCACATTGTATGTTTTATTTTATATTTGCTGTTTTAAAATAGGGAGAAAGTTTATTATTTGGCTCCTGTAAAGATGGGTAAGTAGACCGTGCAGGTTTTTGTCTGGTACCCAGAAAGGAAGGGTGAAGCAGTGGTTTGGACTCTGGGCTGGGACCTAGCATATGTGGCTATAGTTCCTTGCTTCTGCACCTGTTCTCTGTGTGATTCTCAGCAAATGACCTGCACAGCTGCAGTCTTTAAAGCACGTGCACAGAGGTATTTTCTGTAGGGCTTGAAAATATTGCAGTAATGGAAGCCATGTAAAAAAGAAAGATGACTTAGCAGCAGATTGCAGGGTAGTTGTCTGCAACTGAGGTGCTCCAAGGTAGCTTTTTGGAACTATGTGGAATAGATTAAAGAGTCTGCATTTTCTCCATATGTAGTTTCCAGTTCATAGACATCTTTTATTTGCATTCTTTAGATGCATAATCTTCTACAGGTTCTTGGTTTGTACATACAAACACAACTTCAGGATTTATATTTTATCCGTGCGATATTATGGACACTGAAAGTAAGCAAACTAAAATTTATTTAAATGGATTATAGTGAGGACTAATAAAAAAAAAAAAAAATACAATGCAAATCTAAATGCCAGAGGGAAATTGAATTGCAGTTCCGCATCACAAAACCCAATAGAGCACATAATAGTAAAATGCATTTTAAATATTAATTGCATTTTATATAGTGGGTAACTTATTAGCCCCATCTCAGCAGGCACTAGATGCATTTACATAATTACAGAGCACGTTACAGTAAGTGCACTGGCATATGTCCACAAGGCCTGTAACAGGAAATGAAGTGTTAGCCAGACAGATAGTGGTGCTGTGAGAGAAGAGATGCTAAATCTTCTTCATATAATCCATTCATTTTTTCCCCAAACCTGATGTGGGAAATAAGAGAGCACATTGTATGCGAGGAAAAGCTTCTTATGGGTCTGGGCAGCTGGGGTGAGGGGGAGCAGTGGCAGCATTAATTGCTGTGGCTCCCCTGGGAACCTTCCCTCCCGTATATCACCCCAAAATAAAATTAAAAAGTCACTAGATTGTGTTGGCATGTGGGGTTGGCCTGTGGCTGGATCCTGGGCTCTGGCTGCAGAGCCATATGCTGAGTCAGACCTGCCGTGCAACTCTGGAGTCAGCGCTCAGGGTAAACGTGCCATGCAGCCCAGCCCCGCTGCGGCCAGATCAGGTGTGGCCCCAGTGCTGCCGCAACCAGATTGGGCCTGCCATACAGCCCCCAGCTCTGCTTCAGCCAGACCAGGCCCCGACACACAGCCCCCAAACATCCAGCCTAGGGATATGGTCCCCAGCTCCAGGGTGCGGCTCCTGAGCTCCCAGCCCAGTGTGTGGCTCCAACCCCTGGGGCCCCAGACCTCAGGTCCTTATCTGTACTCCAAGGTAAGATCTTTTTTCCTTCTTGGGGCCTTCCCAAAATACTGCGCATGTTACATTTGGAGGCAGGTTGTGCGTGAAAAAATATTGAACTTTAGTAGTCCTTTGAGTTGTACATTGTTTTTGTCTACACTGGATAAATACCCGCTATTCCATTTATTTCTACATGGTTTTTCCCAGCAGTTAAAACTTTGTAAACTAGCTGAAAGACAAATGTAGATGTGCAAAGCTATATGTCGTCAGTTTTTCTGTGAAAATAGTAGGAACATTTTTTAACAGCAGGTAACATTACATATGCTAAGACAGTTAAATATAACAAAGTGCAATCCATATAAGTTCATTTAAAAAAAAACCTTTAAAGTTTTGAACTACTCCTGCATCACTAAATAGATAGATATCTGTGTGAGAATGGATCTATATGCCTTAATTAAATATTAAATTCAAGAATATATAATGTGCAATTTATATCAGAGTTGGAAAATCCCTTGTAATGGAATATTTTGTGTAGCGAAGGTTAGGTTGTATCATATAATTTCTCCCATGAGTACACTATGTTCTGTGAACATTTTCACTGAACAAGAAATTTTACTTCAGTAAAGAAATTACTCTGTTTTGCTTGCAGGTTAATGGTGTTGATCTCAAAGCTGCAACCCACGAGCAAGCAGCAGCTGCCTTGAAGAATGCAGGCCAAGCCGTAACCATTGTGGCACAATACCGTCCAGAAGGTAGGAGAAGTACTCCTCTCTAGATTCATGTTCCACGTGTGTAACTGAAAGTTGTAAAGGTTGCTTTTTCATGGGTGTCAGTTTTTCACTTGTTTCAGGAAGGGAGAGATCCATGCAGTGGGTGTTAACATAGAATCTGGCTGTAATTTCATGTTTGTTCCAGTGACAATCAGGATGTGCCTTTTGTGCGGTGACATTCATAACTGTTTCATGATGACCCTGACCATTGAGATAAAACTTGCAACTTAGAACTAACTGGAATTGCCTCCATTTCACAGTCCTCTCCAGACCCCGTGAGTCAGGTGGTCAAACAGAAGTTGAACATCCCTGCCTTATTTTGCCCTCGTTACAGAAAGGAGTGGGAACAGCTCTCCTGCGCTCAGCTGCTGTGAGGAGTTTTGCGGGAGCAAGCAGACTTGGTGTGTGCTGTGGAGCAGCCTCTCCCCTTCCCTTTTCAAAGGGTGTAAAAGGAAACAGTGCACCGTTGATTGGAGCACAGTGGTTTGGTGTTCTGCTATATCTTGATAAATCACTTTGGTAACAGGGTAATTGTTAATGACTTGGCACATCAGTAGCATCTGGATGCAGAGTTAATGCTGAGGGTGACCCTCGTTCAGCTTTCAGTGTCATAAGTTTCTTGGACTTGCACACAAAGATGGTGCTGAGAAACCAGATGGCTATGATCAGATCAGAAAACAAACTTGTAGTACCAACTTTTCTGAGGCATTAGTGAGCTAGTGTAACTTTTATCATGTTTGTTTTTTCCCCAAGAAAAAAAATACTACTTTAACACTTCATTAGTACTTCTGCTTGCCTTTTTCCTCAACAGTGCTGGCTTGTTATAAACTTCTCTGACTTGGATGGGTAAAGTCCAGTATCATATATATTGCGCTTAAAAATAGCAGGTGTAAGGGAAAAAGAACATTTCCCTAAAATTAGTGTTCATTTGTTTCAGCATAAAAAGGACATGTTTTTCATCTGGCCTTCCAAACAAGACTGGACAGAATTGCTTTTCTTGTGTTCTTCTGGCTTCTCTAAACCTATAATAATAGATGCAATGGAGGGTAAGGAATAAGGGATAGATTACACTAGATCTATCCCAGGGGTCAGCAACCCTCAGCATGGGTGCCAGAATGTGGCATACGAAGGCATTTTGCTTGGCACGTGCACCTCGGGGTGGACAGTGGAGAAGGGGCTGGGGCTGCGCTGCCACAAGGATTGGGCCCCTCATGCCTCCCCCGCCATCTGCCCCGGCACACCAACATCTTACAAGTCAAGGTTGCAGGTGTTTTTGGCACTCTGCCGACCCGTGATCTATCCAGTTCACCGTTCTCCCTCCAGCATCTGCTTCTGCCACTGTGGGAAACAGGATACTGGACTAGATGGATCATTGGTCTGACCCAGTATGGTACTTCTTATGTTCTTGTATCACCATATTGTAGCTGCTTGTGAGGTCCATGGTTACCTGTTTTATGTTAATTAGGGGTGCAAATGTAGAAGATTCTCCTATTCAGGCAAAGCAACAAAAACTTCATAATATGGGGTGTCCATAGCCAGGGTAGGTGAAGAATGGGTTAAGAGATCCTGAGAGTCAGAAAGGTGATCTGCTTTATCTGCTCTACTTCCCAGAGGGGAAAAAAATGACCTATTACATCACATTGATCTATTAAACAGTGCTGCTTCTTCACAATCGACATTCCTGTTTTTTTCTTATAGCGGTATTTCAATTAGCAAGTTCCATTTAGTGTTTCAGCTCTTGAGATGCAGACGTAGGTCTGTGCTTCTTCCAAAACAAGAATAAGTGGTGAACTGAGTAGTGAACTGTGGCATCGCCAAAGAATGTTGTGCTGTCGTTTAGTTGTGTACAGCTAAATTGAGGTAAAAATATGCACTCAACCTGCCAAAGGGCTTGAAGACCTGTGCAGAATGAAAAGAATCAGATTAAACTAGAAACAGAATCTTCAGAAGTGGGTATGGTAGCAATTGCTTACTGCCTTGTAATTTACTCATGTGCAAATCAGATTATCCTGGCAAAGTCAAGTTAAGTTTCAGGAAAATACCCATTCTTCTGGAAAATGTTGTATGAATCTTCCCAGTCATTTACCTCCTTGCAAAGGCCAACTTGTTTAAAATAAGCCGGTGGGTTGGAAGTTCTAAGTGACTTGGGGCATGGCCCTTTTATTAACTAGAGGGACTCTTCCTGTTTCTCTTCCTTTTACTGAGTTAGTGCATCAGCTTTGTGGATAAGGCTAAATACGTCTCAGCTCTAAGCAAGACCAAAGCTAGCATGGTATTAGTAAACACAGAGTTGTTGTCAGGTGTTTATTATGTAGCAGCTAAACTGTTCATAGAAACTGCCATTGTCTTGTCCTTCTACTGAGCGACCTCCTTGAAAAAAGAAATACGGCTAAGTGATCTGATTAAACGTTCACAGGTGCTTGATGCATCAGTGTGTAATTGAGAAGATGGATCAGGGTGCAAAGAGGAAGATTTTGATGTATTTTATTGTAAAACTGTAAGCTATAATTTTTCACAAAGGTTCTTGACATCATTTCTCTTGGATTAATTAAATAAAAAGTTTAATGTTTCTTTCCTTACTAAGTGCAAAATATTTTCATAGTCCAGTGCATTAGTCAGACCTATGGATTTATTCAATTAGCAGTGTTGATGGTAAAAAAATATTTAAATATATTTTTCTCACTTCTTTGGATAAAACAACTAATCGATACTCTGAAAATTTGTGGGAAGATGAATATCTACTAACATATTTTATAATAATTTAAAAGTAATTATTTTTATGGCTACTGTACTGTTGGCAAATGCTTCATGAAGCAGAAGTGCTAGTTTATTTGGTGGTATTCCACTTAGGTTGCTGTTTACCCCATGTGTGCATGTATATCTGGAATACTGTTGAGCCTTAGTTTTGTGTTGACCATCATTTTGTGTATGTAGTTACATAACACAGTTGAATCCTTTTCTCTTGAAATAATATCCATTTGATGTGTGTATTTCTAAAATTCTTCCATGTGTAGGGATCTGGAGTAGCTTGCCATGCACTCCTTGTAAAACTCCCCTGAAAGCAGCAGTAATCAAAGAGATTCAAGTATTTACACATTAAGTGCTTTTTCTGTGTTCAGTTTAAGATATGCAGCTGTAATTTTTCTACTACTAAGAGTGGGCAGGAAGATTGACATGTTGCCACGTTCACTGTAACTGAAAACATTCTTTAAAATACAATTTCCAAGCTTCCATTATTCTCCTGTTTAGTGTGTCTGATTCTGCCTAATTGTGAGTGATCCAGATAAACCAGTTCATAGAACAGATCCTAAAAGTATTCCAGGAGTAGAACGAAAGTTCTGTTAAAAATACTCCTGCCAGACAAAAATATCATCAGGTTTAAGTATGATTGAATGTTGTTGAGCTTCTTTCTATGTTGTTTTAATGTAGTTTATTTTAAATAAATACTATTCGTAATGGTGTAAGTACAGTTGTTATTCAAAACAAGTACAGTAAACAGTTTTCTTCTGACTTTGAAATGAAAGGGTGGTGTGGAACCCCCTGCCAGAAGAATGTGACGGCTGTCTTTCTGGCCTGTTCTGAACTTCTTTGACTCAGCCTCGCTAATTACTGTCTGTCCTTATTACGTACAACTTGTGTTGTACGCACATCTCCAGAGTGCGTGAAATATATACTGGTCTCCTGCTAATGCGAGGTCCTAATATAAAAGAAACACTGACCATTAAAGTGATGTAATTAGAGTAAAACCTGGATAATTTTAAAGCAATTCACAAAATGTTAGAAAGTAACAACTTTCCAGGTGTTTATATGGACCTTCCCTTTGTCTAACCTGGACATTTTGCAAATTGAAGGTTATAGTCCTACTTCAGCCCTTAATTTAGTACATGTTATCTGAGAAACATAAGTATAGAAATAAACCATAAATAACCAGTATTTTTGATGTTACAGTGCCTAAGAGCCCTGGTCATGGATCAGGACTGCCTTGTACTAGATGCATGTAGAAATACAGAACAAAAATGCCTTCGAGTTTTCATCTGAGGCAGAAGACAGCAGATAGGTGCAGACAGGCAGGGGAGCACAGAGACAAATTGACTGCTACTGCCTCTCTTTCTTTGTGACAGGCAGCGGGCAGGGGAGTGCAAGAAGACCGCTGCCTCGGCACAGAGACAAAGGCAGCAGGAGTCTTGGCATACCAGCAACCTAAGCGTTTTCAAGTGTTTGGCAGCACCTTGGCAAAGGGGAGAGTTAAGAAGCATTTGGAAGGAGAAGAGTGAAGTAACTTTGCTCGTGTTTGGGGACCTGCTCTCAAGTAGGAGGGCAACTTGTGAGAAAGCACAGATCATTCATTTGAAGATGTAATGAGTGGGTGCTGAAGGCTGGCACTGGGCTGTTTGGAGGTAGGGGTTAACCTCTTGATGCTGAATGAGGGATGACAGGTGGTGAGAGAGGAATAGGCCATTACGATACGATGGCGAAGATCTTCTGTTTGGGGTGAAGGTGAATAAATAGGAAAGCAGTGGACAGGTACAAAAAGATGGGTAACAGAGTTAAATCAGCTGGCTAAGAGAACTTCATGAAGCAGCTTTCTGGATGGATGTGCAAGGAGCCAGATTACATTTGTCAAGTCCAGAGAAACAAATGTTATGGTAACCAAGACATAGGGTCATGGGCGACTGGTGCCTTCTGAGTCGGGGGCAGGGGGCAGTTGCCCCCCCAAGAGTCAGCGACCAGCGGATCCCGCAGACCGGGGGGAGAAGGGGGTCTGCGGGACTTCTGGGTTGTCAGCATCGATTGCGGGGAGGCCGCTTCTCCTGGCACACTCCCTGGCTGGCACTCTTAGGGGGGGCACTAGCACTCTTGCCTGCCCCCCTGCCTAGGAACACTGCTGTCAGGGGTTGCACCAGCGCTCTCAGGATGTACACACATGCACTGTGTACATGTTTCATAGTTTCATAGATTTAGGGTCGGAAGGGAC